GTTGAAAAAGGAGGGTGCAGATTTTTAGCTCTGTGTTGTATAAACATCTCAAACCAAAATGATCTCAAGCTCACATTGTCACTATTTGAATTTACAGTTCAATTATTATTAGCTGCAGTATGTCCTATGGCCACAAGATGTCTCAGTGAGGAAATACTGAACTTTTACGAAGTGGTTTTGCAATATTGCTCAAATCAGACAGGGACTTCCAGTATTTGGCTTGAATTTTACCCAGAACTCTACGTGGGCTTTTTACTAACATGAGACCTAAGACTGTGTATTTGTTTGCCCATTAGCGTAGGCAGTAAAAGATAACTTCAAGTGCTTAATGAACCAAATGACTCTTTGGAAAACCTTGGTTTTAAAAAAGGAAAGGTGTGAAGCATAGTCCTTACTAAGCAGGTGACAGCTGAGAAACATGAGTGTCTTCTTGTGTAGGATAGATAGGAGAGCAACTTTAGGCTGCTGCATTTCATTTCCACAATTGATTTTGATATGGTGCAACATATTTTAATTATTTTTATTTGGGATTAAATAGTGTTACTTAGAGCTGCTATAGGGAGTCAGTTATTTGTACCACACTTTCTCTAAGGAGATTTTCTTTGGGGGGCCGAATGTCACTGAAACCTATGAAAAAAATCTCCTTTTGTGTGTAATGCACACAGCGAAATGCTTGGGTGGTTACGTCCGTGAGCAAAGCAGGAATGCGTTAAATATTGATTTTAGAACAAGAAGAGGCTTCTTATCACACTTATTGCAAGAGGGAAATGTGAAAAATGCTCAAGAGTTGGTGACTGCAGCATGACCTGTTTGTCTGTGTTGCTCTGTGTTGCTCAGTTTGCCTGCATGCACCCACTGCTCTGTTTGCCCTGGGAACGCTTCTCACCAATTTTTCTTTGTTTTTTTTGTATTCTTCCATTGTGTTTCTCTACTTATCTTCCCTCAGTTCACCTCCTGCATAATTCCTTCTATACCTTGTCTGAAGCAGACTATTTCTTATTTTATTTTATCTTCTTAGATTAGGAAATAAACCAGAGTGAATCAAGCTGTATTTTTACACACTTGTGCTGCCTGCAGCGCGCAGGTATCTGATGAGTGCATCAGCATTCCTACTGCCAGCAGCTCTGCACAGTTCAGGGACAATGAACCTGACACTGTAAATCCTCAGCAAGGGAAAAAGGTGCTTTCAGTCAGAAGGCACGGCCCCGTGCTGTGGGGAGGTGAGATGGCAGCATCCAGAGGAGGAAGGGCTCTGGGCATCAAACCCGACTGACGGAGCTGACATTCATCTCTCATGTAGTTGTTAAGCTGCTTACAGAATGCCTTTGTGTTTTATTTTACGTCAAAGTGAAATGAGGGATTTTCTCATGAATTCAGAATTCCAAATCAGTTAAGAGAGGGCTGAGAGAATAGCATTCTTCAGTGATTAATGTGTGTACCTTAGATAAAGTATCTGAGCAGTATTAAGGCACAGCTACCCTTTAACAGCCAAGAGTGGTTGTTAGGGAGATTGGCTTTGGAGCAGCGCAGGTGTTGCTGCTGCCTCCAACTATCTTTGCTGTAAAGGACAAATACACAAGGCTTAGATTTTGAAGCCTCATGGTTTATTTTAACTCAAAAATGGCTTATTTTTGCAGATATCCCACAGGACTGGGGCAATAGCAATAGGATATAACCTATAAACTCTTCTCATCAATCAGGCAGTGTATGAAACGCAGAACAAAAAGATGATCTTTGGACCAAAGAAAGCACATTCTGGGGCTAAAAGAGGAAATAATAAAATAGTTGTCAAAAATATGGGCCAAGGCCGTATCATAAAAGCAGGAGAGCTATTGTCAGGATTTCTGAATGCGTGGTGGGAAGGGAGTGCTTTAAGGAAGGATCTGGAAGAAAACAATGAAACAGTTTTGTAAATGCATTTGGGTTATTGTTTCCAAGTGTAAGGAGCAGCGTGAGAGCAAGCACACAGGGATCAATGAAAATCTAATAAAAAGACCACAAAAACTGCCATTGCTTCTATGGTAACTGTTGAAGCAGTGGGAAAGTGAGAAAATTTCTGCTGTGCAGAGACCTGCAGGTGTAACTGTGTAGCTGGGGAAGGGGTCAGGGAGGAGAGGGAGGTGGGAGGTGTCCCTTCATGGCAGCCCAGCTTCGCTCCAGATGTAGCACAGCGACGCTGCAGGTAAACTGTGCACTGCTGTGAGCAGGACAAGAGCGTCACAGAACTCTGCAGGAAGGAAGTCAGGAGGTAAAGCGTGATTTCTTGAAGTCGCATGTATTCAAAATAAGGCCTGTTTTAAGTTGTTACAGTTTTATGAATTCGTATTTGTAAATTTTACCCAGAGGATGGTGTGTGCTTTTTAAGCAGGGTCTCCACCCTCAAGACTTGACATCCTGAATTACAGAGACTAAAAGAATCTACTGTGATCTGATGAGGTAAATGTCCAGATTCCTTATGCCTGTGCTTAATAGGAATACTTGAGTCAATTACAAGTGCAAGAACTCTAGTTGTAGCAGCACAGAACTTTGCATGGGTCATTTACTTTAACAGAAAAGCCTACTTCAACATGCACACAGTGCTTCTAAATATTCTGAACAAATAAAAGCAGACGATGTTTGTTTCGATATATGAAAGTCTTCCATTATTGGAGTTTAGTTGTCTGAAAGGAGGGGGAATAGAGACATGTGAGGTAACTCGACCAGCTTAGATTACCTGATGCTGAGAAAGCCTTGTCCTGCATTTCTTCTGCACTATTCCTTCCTTTGATTCTGCAGAGTATTCAGTTACTGGAGGAGTTGTTTCCCGGAGGAAGGAGGGAGTGTTACCATCCAGATGTGCCATGGTTCCTTAGGTTGTTCCCTGTCTGCCCTTAAAGCAGCATTCAGTCCTGTTGGGATGGCGTTCAGTCAGCTCTGTGACATCTGTTCCAAAATTCAGGAAGACAATTGTGATTTTATACCACAGTCATCAATGCTTGGTCAGAAGGACGTTTCCCCGTATTCCATGTTTGTTCACTTCTAAATGATCACACCCAAACATTTCCCACTGAATAAGCTCCTGTACAGCTGACAGCATACAGCGTGCTGAGGATTCTCACATCCTGCCCTTTGTGTTTCACAGTCTCAGCTATGCACCATTGACTTGTTCAGGGATGATTGTTCTGAGCAGAAACAAACAGGCACAGCCAACTTTGTGTAATAGCAGACACTGGAGGACTCCTACAGTGCAGCTGCAACATGTTTGATGTTTCTGCCTGCCTCATGCAGTTGCACAAGACTGTCAGTATGCATCAATAAGAAATGCAGGAACGTAAGGTCAGGACCTGCAGTCAGGGTGTGGTTCATTGCAAAAGCTAATGGAAAGAGTTCCAAACCCAGAATCATCGTAGAAGGCTGGCAAGATCCCCAGTGCCTTTAAAACCTTCCCCCAAGCAAACTTTTCCAGTCACACAGCATCTGATCTGCTGCTCAGTTTGGCTGCAGTATGAAAAAGCAGCTTCTGACATTCCTGTTGCACAAGCAGGGGGCAGTACACTCTTCTTGCTTTCTCGAGGCACCCTGAACATTTCCTTCAAGAATCCTAAAATTGTTTTCAGGATCCTTATAGCTTTTGTATCCAATACAAGTTATCCAGAAATCAATTGTGCTTATGTATTTTGTATATGCCTTGTATTTTTAGCACAAGCAGGATTCAATTTGGTTGTGCTCTTGAGCATATACACTATTCTGCTAACTGTATTTTTCATCCAAGCAGTTGAATGATCTGAAGCTCCCCGTAGCAGGATGGAGTGGTGAAATGCCTTTTTAACTTCCTTGCCATCAATTTCACGCGTGACCTGCCATGGGATCGGGTATCAAACAACTTCCAGGCTTCCAGCAGGGAGCAGACGGCGCCCTGGGTTGCGTTGTGTGCACAAGAGCAGAAGGCACAGATGTGGCAACTGGCACAGGAGGCCCCGCTCTCCTCCTCTGACAACTCATTCAGCACAAACCCTGCCTGGCTGTGGGCCGGGGAGATGTGCCACCTTGGCTGCAGGGCCCACCCAGACGTGCTCTGCTCTCTGCTCCTACGGAACTCAGACACAAGCTGCTCTTCCTCCTCACCTTCTTACCCATGGAATAGGCCTCTCCGCAGCCCTTGCTCTGGATGTGGTGGGTACTCAAGGAGATGCTTTACTCCGGATGTAGAAAGGCAGTTTTGAACAGTGCATTCTATGCCCGCTGTGTGCTCATCCCAAAGAAGCCCAATGCACTTCATCCATACAGTATAGAAAAATACCAACCAGGAGGAGCTCTGGGAGCAGGCAAACTAATTAAGTCCGTGCTGTGGATTTCTGTCTTCTTGTTGGCTCTCTTGTGGCTGAAATGCTAAAATGGAGCATTTATCCCCTGGGAGATCAGTCTCTTGTACCTTATCAGCCTTGCCCTCAGTGGGGGCACCAGTGTGGTCCCTTTTCTCTATCTCATTGATTTTTTTAATTAAACTTTCAAGCATGCAATTCCTTTGAGAATCCTCCGCTACGTCCAGCTTGATTGATGTTTGTTTTGAGGCTTCAAAACCATTCAGGGAAAGGGGTCTCCACAGGCAGATAAAATGGCCAGGGCTTCCTTTCCTGAGGAAAGCCCTTAGAAAAAATACAAACAGAAAAAGTACTTGATATTAAGTGAACGTGAAAAGGTCTTATTTCCTTTGAAGTGCAATGTAAAAGATTTGCTTCAAATCAATGTGGGCATCATTGAATCTGATAACCTGGAGGAGTGACTGTGTGCCGGAGAGCTGCTTCTGTATTTTAGCTCTGCCAACTGGGTCTAATCATACTGTGCTGCTTCTCCCTTCAGAACTTGTTGTCTAATTAGAGACCCTGGTACACTCATTAAATCTCTTGCTGAACGAGGAAGTCCTGAGGCCAGTGAACTGGATTCTGATTTATAATCGATACCTGATCAGATTAAACGAGTGGGAGAATTAAATGACACTCACACAAATGTTTATAAATTTATTGATCTGAAATGTTACATTTTTAACATTGAATTGTTGAGTTTGGAAAAACAACATTTCCAGGTTGCGCATTCATCAGAAATATTTTCTGTGCTAGAAGGTATTTTACACTGACTCTAAATGAACAGCCCAGGCAATGTCGAGTCTGCAGACCTGCTCTGCTCTTGGAAACGTAGGCTCAACATGACTCAGGGTATAGCCCACAGTAATTGCCGTCAGTGTTAATAACAGCTTGTGCTGAGAAAGCTTCCTTTGTTCACTACTGCAGTGAATTCACCTGATGACTTCTTGTCTGTGAACAACGCATGCATGAGACAGCAGGGTACAGCTGAGGGCTTTACTTACTTCTTCACCCTTCTGCAACTTGAAATTCCTGCCTGTTTATTACTAAGAATGAAATGCAAACTTCTTACACACCAGGCAACACGTGCTGAGCTTTGCCACAGCTTTTCAGAGATCGTTTTGCCAAGGGGCTGCTGAGTGACTGAAGGACATGGCCAGCGATTGTGATAGATGCAGGGGAGAAGAAATGCAGGTGTCTAAGCAAACATCCTGAGCCCCGGAGCATCCTACCTCTGCAGACATGGCTCAAGAAGGCAGAAATAGATGGGCTGGATGTTCTGGGACTGTATAACCAATAACTACATAACCAACGGTCTTTTTCACTTCCTTATGAAGGAACAGGCTCTATTAACTTTTCCATCTTAGCATTTAAACTGTTTTCACGGTCGATACGGTTCAATTAGTCTTCTAGTTAACAATCCATCGTTGCTTTAAAGCATTCAGAATACTAATTCACTCCTTCATGAATCAGGAAGTCTCAACAGAAATTTCATTCAATTTTTTTTTATTTTTTTTTTAATCCCCAAACTGTAGCAACAGGATCAGCACTTTGTTGCACTTCTTATGTCAGATTTAATCAGAACTAAATTATTCAGTAACAAAATCTAAGGTGGCTTTGCTACAGGCAGGACAGGATCCGTCCGATTTCTAAGAGCTGACCAGCAGCCCCAAACAACAGCAGAGGGACAGGGGGGTAACAGTGTGACAGCAGACCTACACCTTACAAGCAGGTTTATCTGTGCCTCGGCAGGAGCAGATGTTGCTTGTTAAAATCTGTTCATAGTAATCGGTCCTAGAATGCAATAGTATCCAAACAAGTACTGAATAATGTTACATTTCTTTTTGCACATAGCTAAGAGCTTAGGCTACAAACAACTATAAGCAACGAACACATCCACAGAGTACATCTAAGGAGACAACATCTTATCTCTTGCTTTTGTTACTGAATGAACTGCTTGGCTCTGTTACCTTTTGATGAATTACTTGGCGTAAACATTTTAAGCATTGCTCACCTATTTTCTTTGCAACTACAAAAATTGAAGTGGTCAGCTCTCCTCTTTTACCATTCAGCACACACGTCTGAGCTGAATAACCCTGAGTGTGGTGCCACTAGTCAAATGAAGTGCAGCCGTATCTCAGAAGCATCTGCAGATATAAGAACATAATTTAAAATCGTCCAAGTGCATTATAAATATTTATTTACTTATAAATGAGTCCTCCAGAATCAAATATTTTAGTCCTATAAAATATTTTGAGTCATATTCACCAAAATCTGACGGCATAAATTCTTAACTTTTTTCCTTTTGCTTAAAACTTGTAGAGATCTCCTTTGATCTGCTGTAGTGTTTTGCAAATGCAGTCAGCCTTTGGAGTGCTTCTGACAGACCTTCTCCCGTGACGGCACAGCAGGGCTGGACGTACCAATTTCTGTCACAGCAGTACTTCTTCATGTGGAATCTCCTGGTTATTTCCTCAGCGTTTAAAGCCCCGGGCAGATCCTGCTTGTTTGCTAGCACGACGACCGGCACGTTTTTTATGGATTCATTCTTTAAAAGGAGTTCAAATGCTTTCTTTGATTCCTCTAGACGTTGCTTATCAGCGCTGTCCACGACATACATGAGTCCTTCTGCATTCTCCAGGAAATTGCACCAAAGCTGTCTCATTTTCTCTTGTCCTCCAACATCCCAAAAAGTCAGTGTAAAATCTTTCCCCGTTTCGATCATATCGACATTAAAGCCAATTGTTGGAATCGTTAGAAAAACGTCATCAGACTTGAACTTGTACAGCAGAGTAGATTTCCCTGCCGAATCGAGTCCTAACATCAGTATATTAGCTTGTTTTACTTTGGAGTGCTTGGTGATGTGGAGGCCCATTTGTGCCGTGGTTTCTGTATTAAACCTTTAGAGGCGGAATCCACTGTCTTCTGTGGAGCCAGTTTTTATCAGTACGACTTCTTTCTTCCTCCGTCAGACGGAGCACAAAGAATAAGGAAAAGGAAGTGGAAGCAGCTGCTTTGTGCTATGAAAAGTAAGTAAAAGCTCTGTACAAATACATTCTGGCTTTTATCGAGTTGATAATATGCAAACAGTATTTATGAAGGTGTAATGTTCAATGCCAAGCCCGTGGGTGGAACTGCAGTGAGTAATGTAGCAATGGGTCACAAAGCCCAAAGGTCTCTAAACATGCTCAAACACTGAGCCATACTCACTTGACCATCCTCTAGAATATAGGAACTCTTCTTTTGCCGAAGAACTGCGTGCTCTGAATCAGCAGTGATCTGGTTATACACCCAAACCCCGCAGTCCAGAGATCCACCACCCACCTGCAACTGTTTCAGTGAGTGCCTGCAGGCACCTCGCTGTGTCACCGCATCCCTTTTGGAGAAGAAACTTAATAACACAGCCAGTGAGGAAGGAAAACCCTATTGGTTTGTCCAGGCTCATCAGCCCATGGAACGACAAAGTTCCCGATTCACCAGAGTATCTCATCTCCCAGCAGAGCATTAATCTCGAGTGGTTTCTAATGTAAGCCTGTGGAGGTACACAAGGACTCAATCAAGCTGTGTTAGCCCTGCACTAAAAAATGCCCTGTGCTCTAAAGCTGGCTGCCTTTGACTCAGTAGTTATTCTTCCTGTTCCTTCCTGCATGAATTGCTCTGCTTTGACTACAAACTCTGAGTTATGTTTGTGTGAACACGTCCAACTGCACCACGCAGGATGCAGTCTCAGAACAGATCTTGAGATCTGACCTCTGGTGGGATTCAGCTACATTTGTTAGCTTTGCTATCATCTGTCCTGTTGTTGCTCACAGATACTGCGTTGATTTCCTTTAAGAAAGGAATAAGAAAGAGGGAAGCATCTGAGTCTGAATCAGAAGGGATTATTTTTAAACTGGTGTCCTAAGCTATAGGTTAAATAAGAGGAAATTGAAAATTCAGTCTAATATTATTGGAATCATGTTGAGCCTCCGTTTTTTTGGGACAGCTGGTAGATCTACACTGCGCTAACCTGATGCACACTGAGTGCTTCACTGCTTATTTGGCCTCACACCTAATGGACTCGTGGGGCTCAGTACATTTGTGCTTCAGAAAATACATGATCAGCAAAAAAGATGCAAAGGTCTTTTGGCTAAATAAGCCGCTGATACGGGTAATCGTTGTGATACCCATGACAGGGGTTGCCCTGATATTACTGTGAGTAAAATGAACCTCAGCCTCGGCAGACGAGTCATAAGCTGGTTTCTCTTGAAGCTGAAAGGGTTTTACCAGAACTAACTGGGGGCAGCAATGGATGGCAGAGACATGCTCACTGTAGTGCATTTTTCATATTTAATAACACACGTGGATTACGTGTGGGATTTCTTTCAGGAGGTATTAAACCACGGAAGGAAGCATTTGTGTTTCTTTATAAGTAACGTATAGGAATGAATTGAAGGATGGGGAGACGAGCAGCCATGCAAAACGTGTGGGAACCAGAGCTCGCCTCAGGGCGTCCAAAGGTGCGTTTGCTTTGCTGGGGCGCGGTTACTGTTGTAGGTTTGCTCGGATGTTCGTTTTAGAGCTGTAAAACACGGGGCAGCCCGCTCGCCTTATGTCAGGACTCAGGACCGCCGTGCCGTAACACTTTCGGGCTGCTCTCCACATCGCCGCAGCAGGACGCCGTAATGGCCGCGGGGGCGCGCGGGGAGGCTCTGAGGGCAGATCTCACAGCCGTGAATTTCGCGGCTGAAGGAGGCCGAGCTCAGTTAAACAACTTCTCTTTCGCTGGAACCCACAGGAGCCTCAGCAAGGCCGAAGCGGCCGTGAGGCGAGAGAGCCAAAGAGCGAGACGGCCGCCAGACGAGCGGAAGGCGGGCTGCGGCGCGCGGCGGTCGTGAGGCGCGAGGCGGCCGTGAGCGGGAAGCGGGCGGGAAGCAGCGAGGCGGGAAGCGGCGGGAAACGGCGAGGCGACCGCGGCGCCGTTACCCGGGGGAGGCGTGCCGCTCCGCCTCGCTCCGCCCCGCCCTACGCGACATCGCGGACGCGCCCGGCGAGCGGGAGGCGGCGGCGGAACGTCGCGGCGCAGCACGGTAATGGCGGGCGGGCAGCTGAGGGAGGGGTTGCGTCCGAGGGGCCGGGCCGCGCGGTGCCGAGAGCCGCAGCCGCAGCCGTGCGTGCCGGGCCGCTGCCGCCCCCGCCGGGCCGTGCCGGGCGCTGCCGGAGCCCCGTGCCGCCCCGCTGTGCCGCCGCGCTTTGCCCGCTCGGGGGGCGGCGGTTCCTCGAAGGTGCCGAGAAGAAAAGTCGCCGACAACTTTTTGGCCTTTTTCTTTGCTAACGTGAACGTGAAAGCGATTTAAGTTTTGAGGAGTTCAGCAGAGGGCAGCAGACGTCCTCTGAATGAATGGTGGCTTGTGGGTGTTCGCTCTCAAAAGAGGTTCCCTGCAGCAGAGAGAGGCCGCTCGGGCAGCGCGGAGCGTCCGTAAGAGCTGCTGCGAGCCGCTCTGAACGCGGCGCGACTTTGCGCAGCCCGGGCTCCTGCAAAAACGCCTTCGGTCCTGCGATGAGCCGTGGGACGACACGTGGAGGCGACTTCACCTTGGCGGGGCCTTTCCAGCAAGCTGTGAGCGTGGAAACAAATGTCATCTTGAGAGGAGCAGCCCTTGAGCTGCACTTCGTCTCCTCCGCCTCTTCTCTTTCGCTTGAGCGTTTGATGTAAGAACAGAAGGGGAATTTTCTGCCACCTGCTGCAGCGAGGGCTTGGGCTTCCCCTTTAACTTGCCCTTCTTCTATTTACATCACGGGTCTGAAGGCAGAGCTCTGCTGCTGAAAGCTGGAAGGTGCCTGCCCGTGTTACTGATTCTGGGCACTACAGGAACAGCTGTCTGGTGTTTCAGGGAGTGTAGTGCCCACCCACAGACCACTGTAAAAGCCTTATTTTGATGAACCTGTGCCAACTTGCAGACAGGTCAGCATATCACTTAGGGAACGTGACCTCACACGTGCAGAAATGCTTTGTTGGCCGTCATGTTGAGCTGATGGTGCTGTTGGCACAATACCTAGCGTGGGCTTTTTTTTCATTTGCCCTCTTCTGTCAGTAGTCTGCAAGGACTCATTTCTGATCACACATCCTGTGCTCTCACTTCTGTGGCTGCACGCTCTGCCTCTGTGCTAGCTGCTGTATGTCCAAAAAAGGTGAAGATGGTTCAGTGTTGGTGTTTCGATGAGTAAGACGGTGAGGAGGGTTTGGAAGGGCAGGGGTGGGAAGGGTGGGACAGGACTGCAAGAGTTTTTGGGAACCTGAGCTGAACTTTCACAGCTCCACAGAAGGATTCCTGGTTGCAGCAAATGCAGTTCTTGTTCTGGATGCTGTGTGGTGCTGGCACGTAGAAAGGATACGGCAGCTTTAAGATTGGGTTCTGCGCGGTGTGGCAAGGGACCTGAAGAGATGGTTTCCTCGTTTCTCAGCTTTTCCATTGCTTATCAGATCAGGCTTTGGTCTCTGATTCTGTTGCTCAAAATGTCACGGAATCAGGCTTTTCTGTAAGGAATTGAAATCTTTATCACCAGATTTTTTTTCCTTTAGATTGTCAAGAACTGACCACACATTGATGTGTTTTACTTCAGATTGGTCAAATCCCAAGAACTGTTATTTATATAAAATCGAATTCTAAGCATTGCTCTATCTGATGTAAGTTAGATATTTTTCATCTTGTTCACTGAAATGCTCTCTTCCAGCTCAGCATTTTGCTTGTGCTCTGGGATACAGGATTGATTCATGGTGCATAGGATGCTACATGTAACAGCTGGGCCAATGATTCTTGTGTTTGTCTTCCTCATTACAGCACACTTTGGCTGGCACGCTAAGAACGAGGTACTGCTTGGACAACAGCATTCTGAACACTGCTTTTTCATCTATTTTCCAGTAAGAGACGTACTTCAGAACTTGTGGTACAGATTTTGAAGGCTACTGACATACTCCTGTTACTGCCCGGTTCCTTTTAGTGTCATGCACACGATCCCATTGAAATGGATCTTTTTCTTTCTTCTCATATTTTCTGCTGTAACCATGTGGTACATTACTTTTTCTTCAAACGCTGTGGTTGAGCACGTGAACAGCATGTATTTCTATGAGTATGAACCGGTGTACAAGCAAGCCTACCTCTTCACGTCGCGTCAACACTTGAAATGCAAAGACATAAATCCATTTCTGGTCATCTTGGTGTCTTCGAGACCTAAGGATGTGAAGTCAAGGCAAGCCATAAGGATAACATGGGGATCTGAAAGCTCCTGGTGGGGACATCGAGTTCTAACCCTGTTCTTACTGGGTCAGGAAACGGAAACAGAGGACAGTTCTGCAGCACTGTCAGTGGAAGATGAAATCATTCTCTATGGTGACATAATTCGCCAGGATTTTGTGGACACTTACAACAATCTTACCTTGAAAACGATCATGGCGTTCAGATGGGTGTCTGAGTTCTGTTCTAATGCTAGATTCATCATGAAGACGGACACCGATGTCTTCATCAACACTGGTAACTTAGTGAAGTTTCTTCTGCAGTTCAACTCCTCAGAAAGCATTTTTACAGGTTACCCTCTCATAGATAACGTTGCCTACAGAGGCTTTTACCAAAAAACATACATTTCTTATGATGAATATCCATTCAAGTTTTATCCTCCATACTGCAGTGGGATGGGTTACGTACTGGATGGAAAACTGGCTCTGAGGATTTATGAACTGATGGGTCATATCAAACCTATAAAGTTTGAGGATGTTTACGTGGGAATTTGCTTAAATATACTCAAGGTGAACATCAGTATTCCAGAAGGTAATCAACAATTCTTTATTGATAAAATTAATTTCGATATCTGTAAATACCGACGCTTGATTGCAGTGCATGGCATCACGCCAAGTGAAATGATCAGGTTCTGGAAGGATTTGTCATCTGTCATTTCAGTTACTTGCCTTTGATTCTGTACTGACTTATGGATAAATGCACACTTGTATCACCTGAAACTTCGAATTCCAGTGTAAAAATGTTGAACTGAAGTACGGGGAGCATGGAACAAAGACAGATGTTGAGATGACATTGATTGAAAGCCAGCTGTGCTGCAGCAGCAGAACTGTGAGGGCAGCATTCCTCTGGGATCCTCTGAGGCTCCCGGTGCCTTTATTTAGGAACTGACACATTTCCATGTGCCTATCCTGTGCACAGAGGGTGCTTGGAATGCGCTGCACTGTCTTGCTTTGACCCTTCTCTGTGCACTCTGCTGTAACCAAGGGATGTCTGCCCAAATCTCCTGGAATTCATGATGAAGTGTCACTGAAGAATAATGTTTATGTCAAGAAATGAGCCGGGAAGATGCTTCTCAATCACTGCTTAATGATATTTCTTTTGGTCCTTCTGTGAACTGCGTGATCCTTTGCCACCCTCAAGTTAGTTGTTCTCTGCGCAGCACAAAACTTGCAGCTACCTTCTTATTTAAATGTATCAGCTCTGTCCTTCTGGGAGCTTTACATCTTCTCATTTAAACAGTGTTCAGATGTATGTATGTTTATAGTCTGTGTTCAAGCATGAGCTTATTTGTGTACATGCAAAATAGAATCGCTGTGATGTCTGTCAGGTAGGACTGCTAATGCTCGCAGGCCGTTGCAGGGCTTGGTGCAGAAGAGCCCACGTGCAGTTCAGGTACGAGCTGCCTCGTGTGGTGGTGCTGTAGGATAACACTGGTGTGGGTGCTGATGCACCCCGAGTTGTTGTAGCTACACAGGGAAGATTCAGACAGATGTGCTTAAGCTGTGACTTCATGCCCATTTCAAAACAGTTTTCTTGCTTAAAATTTTAAAGTGAAAACAAGAATGTCCTTCTAGGCTTCTCATGTCTTAAAGAAGACAAACGTGACTGTATCTGTAAAGATGGGTATTTTAACCACTTTATTCATACCAGCAAGGCCAAGGTTTCAGTAGTTTACACTTTTAATTGACAGCAATACAGAATTTGCAATTGCATGAACAATTATCCTAGACACATCTAATACACAGTGAAGATACTGTAGTTACATCCTGTACATCTAGAATGACAGAGCACTGCCACCTTTTGTTCTCCAGCTAACGTTACGACGTATTTACATTTGGCTGTCTTTCAGATAGTCTCTTAGAGACAAATTAGAAGAGGTGCAGAAACCTCCAGTACCCAGGCTGAGGTTTCACCAATGCTTTTGTTACATTGTGGTAACGGTCAGTACTGACTTCTGTCTTTTCCGTAACTGTACATGGTTTTACAGTGGAGTTATAGGACATTACTTTTTGAAATACAAAAATGATGTCTTGGAGAGAATATTGTCTAGACAAGTACTTCAGACTTCAGTGTTCTAAGAATGTTTGCCAAGAAGGTCAAAGTTTTTCAAAATTGGATTTTGTTGCTGCTGTTAAACTAATAGCTAAAGATACAGTATTGCACAACTGAGGAAAGAATGCCAGGTGGCTCCTGAAGCAGAGGAAGCTGCAGCTGTTCCTCTGGGTTTGGGCTCCACGGTTGGTAGCACTGCGCTCAGCTCCAGGGAGCTCTGTCAGCAATGTGAACTGTTTGTTGGTTGTTTCTACGTGGAAATAAAAAAGCCTTCTTGTTTTGCTTTCACGCCTGCCATGTTACATGCTTAGAAATAAATGGTTTCGCACAAGAGCACTGGCACCACAGTACAGTTTGTATTGCTTCTTCAAAAAGAACGTGACTGTGAAAGACTGTGCAACATTCAGCAGCTGGGCAGGGAGAGCAGACAGCGCTCCTGGTGAGAGCAAAACGCCTGTGGTGGAGAAATGGCTGCACAGCACTGCAGGAAAAGTGTGCGTGTCACCAAGCCAGCACTGTCATGTTGGTGCTCCAGAACTACAGGGCTTCTGCTTTCTCAGATGCAGGTTTGCAACGGCCATCTCTTATGCCACCTGACACCGTAACTTCAGATGACATCAATTCTGCAAGAAGGTTGCACTGTAAAGCATTACTGAATCTGCGCTCGAGTTTTTTGTAAAAACTCATTCCCAGATACAATTCATATTTGAACCCAACCTTATTATTGCTTAAAGGACTGTAATAATGCATAACTAAGGTCACACGTCTGCTTAAAGCAACTACTGGGAGAGTCTGGTGTGAGCTGCCATGCAAGAGGTAAAAAAAACCATTGGGGAGTCATGTCAGTATTTCAGTCAGCAGTGGGTGCAAATTTCATAGCATCTGCTTAAAGCAGTTTACAGAAAATGAATCACGAACTATAGGCTAAATTTTTTCCACATCCTAAGAGCCTTATGCACGCAAGTCTCAACCATATTCAAGAAGGATTCCAAGGAACTGTGATTTTAATATGAAAACTGGGGGCTTTCTATCTTGAAAAGTGGAATAATTGGTTGGACAAAGATGTTTGGAAACTGCTTCTGGGTGCATAGCAAGAGGAGCTTACGGTGTACAGTGCCAATCCTGTGCAGCGTCCATAGGAGTCTGTAAGTCAAAATGGTTCAAGGTGCTGTTCAATTCAGTCAGGAAGCAGTGTGCAGATTCAGAGGCCTTGTTCTCTGTAGTCACTTCAGCATTAAGATGACTTAGTTTGAAGCATCTATGTTTTACATCGTCTAGTTACAATGAACTTGCATTGAAGTGTCTTAGCAGTAAGGAGCTCAACATCTGGATGCACATTAAAATAATGTAAATTTATCCTATTTCTTTCAAATTAAACTAGAAACTGACTGGAGGTTAATCAGACTGCAACACTGAATTCCTGATCTGTCTGCCAGATATGTTAGACACGCCAAGGGCGTTTGGGAGGCAGAGCTCTACCCCCTGTTTTTCATCTCTATTTTTTGACTGGCGTGTGCCATTTGGGCTGCTTTGTCTACAGCCTGCATAAGGCAGAGGTGTTGGGGTAAGAGATGATGCTCATAGACTGCAGAGAGTTTTAAAGCAGTTGCTGTGCTTTGCCATACCCAAATGTGCTCCGTGTAAGAAGGAAAGCAAACAGAGTTCAAGTGAAGCAAGGCAGATGGTTTGTTTCGTGGTTATGTGTAACTGAGTCCTTACTCTAAGGAAACCTAAGCTTGTAAAAAGCAAACAGAACTCACCCCTTCCCCCTGTCCACGTACTGGGTTTCTAAAAATCGCTTTCTCAGTAGTTTCTCTCCTTGAAATACTGTTACATGATTCTCAGCTAGTCCGTACAAACCTGCAACTAGGAGGAAATGTGTTTTATAGCACAGTTTCACAGAGTCACCCAGACTCACAGAACTGTAGGGGCTGGAAGGGACCTCCAGAGATCATCTAGTCCAACCCGTGCCAAAGCAGGCTCTCTGGCCACCTGCAGTGCTGGGGCTCTGGGACTTAGTTGTCCTCCAGTCAAACAAGCCTTTAAAACACAGAGTTCACCCCGGGTGACCTCTGCTGGGACAGTTTCTGTCTCTAAGCGCTGTTTACCTCCAGCCTTCTGACAGTTGCTACGCAGCTCATTAATTTTCCAGGCTTCATTAATCCCAATGACCTGAACGAAGTTTTTTTATAGTGAGTGACGATGGCGTGTGGCTGCTGTGTGCATCCCAGCCTGCAGCCTGACTGGGACGACAGCCTGAAGCCCTGTCTGCTCCTCTCAGTAATGCTTTGGTTGTGGTGGTCCTTAAAGCAAGAGGAAAGTGCAGTCTCCTCCGAGCTTGCAGTGAAGATGTAATCTTAAGAACACTTCTGGCTTTGAGAGAAAAAATGTTAAAAAGAAGCCTGAAGAGGCTCTCCTGTAAGATAAAACAGCACTGTTACGCTCAATGGAAGCTGCCTTCGCTGAGACAAATTGCTTAAACATTGTGATTTTCTTATCTTGTGTGTTCTGCTCTGTGGGCTTTTCTCTAAGAAACATCTGCACTGCCCTTACAGAATCCTCATGTGCAGTTCATTTTCCTAATTAGTTTGTTGTTCTTTGAGAGCGCTTCCAAGCACTGTGGGTAGCAGTGGTTTTGCAGTCACAGTCTATCAGTGGAGGAGGCATTTGCACAGCCTTGCTTGCTGGGGTGCTGAGCAGGAATTTGACTGCCAGCCTGTCCAGCCTGACTTCATGACAGTTCTTGTTTCCAGGATTAAAGCTCATGCAGTTAAAGTGCACCTGCAGTACTCTCACCCCCCTGACTACAGTGCAGGAATGCACAGAGCAATGTTTGACAGTCCCACATCTACATCTCTGTAACACTGAAACTGATGGCTTGTTTAGCTTGCTGGAATCCAGGCTGAAGTGGAATGCTGAGCATCTTTGTCCCAAGAAGTGCTAACTGTCCCCACAGGCTTCAGACACGGCCAGTCCTTTACGTGCAGGACCAAGTGCTTCATTTCCCTATTGCTCAACCAGTTTAGAGTTCATCCTTAATATCAGATATAGGAGCCGACCTGCTCATAAACGTGGATTTCAAAACGTTAGTTAAGATTTGCTCTTGACTTAACCTTCTATTTATGGCTTTAGACAAACTTCAACTGCTTTGGCAGCACACGTTTTGCTTAACAGAGCAAAATACATCTAAAACATCTGTATAACCAGAGACAAACTGATGCCCAGGACACTGCTACCTAGGGCAAAACTGGATTTAAAGCTGCTGCTTACCCAAGCCTGTTGGTACTATATAAATTAAGGTAACTAAAATTCAAATCAATACAGATTTAATTGTGAATATCTCATTAGGTAGCATTGGATATGACTCCACAGATTTAGAAAGGTAAGTTAAACGTGGACAGCACTGAGGGGCAGCAGCTCTGGTCTGAATGGTTGTCAAACTTCAGCAGAATTTTCTAGCTTCTAATCTCACAGTTTTGTATGGCCAGATTGCAGGATAGAGGCCTAAAAACTTACTGCCTAGAATGCAAGCTGACGAGCTGGGTTTTTACTTTGATATAAGCCTTCATGAAATGTTTCTCTATATCAAGTAATTATTAGAGACACTAGCGGTAGATTAATAGTATATAAAGCGAGGGTGTCGTATATTCTGAGGTGACGTAATGCAGCAAGCACTGTTACTTCAGGCTGATGTGGTGTTTAAGTTAACGGCCTTCTGTACTCTAAAATCTGCACAACTTTCATTCTACTGCATGTAAAAGGCATCATGCTGTAATATTAGCAGTAGTGTTGGTACTGACCTTCTGTTCACAAGTCAGTAGCTGGCAGGGGATGCAGGGCATTGTTATGGTATGCCAGGCTGCTTCACACAGTTTCAGCAACCAAGTGCCTGCATTTCTTAGCTATGCCTATGGCTGCACGTGTTTTTCTGTGCTGCTTTAGCAGCTGGGAGGACGGTCCGCATTGACCTCACAGCGCACATGTGCACAAGGCACAACGCACTCCGACATCACGTTTTCCAAACGCGCTTCCAGAGCAGAGCAGCCCAGCAGGGCTCACCGCTGATCCCTGCCGCTGGGCGGCGCTGTGAGACCACGGCTGGCATTCCCTCCGCTGCGGGAGCGCCAATGGCCGCGCTGGAAGCCCTGCCGCTGCCGGGAGGAGCAGCCTTTCTAAGGCCGTACCAGTCCGTCATCCACACGACATGGCAGCATCTCTATCACAGGGCTACACTGATGTTTACAGTGGCATTAAGAGCCTAAGCTCTTTATTTCGGATTGGACCTTATAAAAGATGCTCTTTGGCAGCAGTTTGATATATCAGCACCTGCTTGAAGAACAGATGTCACCGATGGAACTACTCTGGCTTAACCATCACAAGACTTTTACAAACACAGGAATCAGGGAGCTCTGAGATGTAACCAAAATGTGCATCCCTTCTTTGGGCAGGAGCCTAGGCAGGAAAGCAGCACTGGATGGAGCGTGGAAATTGCTACCTCTGCAATGCTGGACCACGTTCTGTTGCTCAGCTCTGACACTGGGGATATTTCTTTCCAGATGTAGCACATAGGATAGATGGGGTATATCAGAGCAGTGGGGGATCTGTCAGGCCGTACAGCACTGTGTGCATTAGCTGATCTTGTCACCCAACAGCTGTATGTGACACAACAGAATTTGGCACAAATCAGCATGACTGGAAACCTAGAACCAGATTAGCAAGCTTCTTAGAAGACCTCTAATGAGTAACATGGGTAGGCACTGCATATTAGGAAGATGCACAAAGCCTGTCATCTTCATTAGTCCTTCATCTTTTTAAACCTGAAGTAGCTGTAAGTATAGAATCATGGACACAGTAAAGGTGGGAAAAGTCCTCTAGGATCAGCTAGTCCCACCATCAACCCATCACCACCATGCCCTAAAGTAGCTTCAGCCTTACGAGAGGTCATTGGCCTGAACACCTTCAGCCAGAAAAGGGAGCTGCCAAAGAGGTGGGAGTGTTGCAGAGAAAATTAAAAGTGCTACATTGACTGCCGTTGCAACTGCAAACACTCAAAGGTAGAAATAGGGCTGTTCCAGTAACTGACTGGATGGCCATGTGAGTGAATGAAGTCTGCAAAACAGTTTTGTACTGTACTCTGGGGTTTCTTAAACCCTTTCAGCAAGCCATGCAGGAGCCCACTTTACTCCTAGACTGTGCCACTGTCCCACAGCTTCCTCATGGCAGCTGCCAGAGTCTGTGAACGCACACATTTCCCATCACCTCCTCTTCCCATCCATCTCAGTAGAGCAACCGGAGGGCTAGCCGTGCTCCAGAGAAGGTCTGCAATTCCTCAGCAATACTTGACAACTTGAGAACGTGAGCTGCAGAGAGGTTTACTGGCAGCCAGAATCTTTTCTCTGAAGTGGCATTAGTCTGTCATTTTTTTCTTGGAGCTGACCATTGTTCTGCTTCCAACTTCTCTACAGCCTGTGAAGGATTTGTAGCAGCTGTACAAACTTCTCAGCTTTAGCCTTCTGTGAACTGCTACATCTAATTCTTCTTTTCCCTGGGCAGCTGTTTGACAAACATCCAGTCTCTGTTCTACAAAGAAAAGCCAGTGCAACAGAAACATCATCTGTGAAGGAGAAAGGAAAGGCAAATGCTACACGCACCATGAGCTCTGCCCAGAGCACAGTTTTGATACTGCTGCTGCAGCATTACTGAGTCCATGAGGAAGCACTCCCATGAAAATACCACACAAGGTTCTCATTTTGCAACATTTGACCTCAAATACTTATTTCAAAATTAAATAACCGAAGCAGTCTGCAATTATTAGCGTTTGTTACCCTCTCCATTTAACTGCACAATTGCATTTAAAATTAACTGAATGCTGTCCGTCCTGTTCAAGCGATTAAAAACATCTGAAACCTTCCATCCTCTGGGGAGGGCAGTGCAGGGGGCTATCAGAGCACGCTGCACCCTTTCTTGCTGCTGTTGCTCACTGGCATGCATTAACCATTACTCAGAGCCCAAAAATCCTACTCACAGTTTTGAAGGAGAGAATGTAGACATGTAAGGACATGAACACAATCGGAAGGGCGCCGTCAGTGCCCTTGTCACTAAGATCCCCAAACAAACTAAAGAAAGGAAGGTTGTTAGGGAAGAGATCATCTAGAAATCAAACTGAAAAGGCTTACGATGAGAATTCTTTCTTGAGTGGAAAGCAGAATTTGTGCTCTTTCATTTCTGTCTTGAGAGATATCATACCTGCCCAGCACAACCACAGCAGATGAGAGCATTTGAGACCAGCAAGCCCCCTTCTCAGAAAACACTCCCGGTGGGTGATAAGCACAAGGCAGTTTTTCATCTAACTGACTGTGTATCTTCAAGAAACAGACAGCGTCAGTTGCCACGTGACAGCCCTGCTTTAGCTCAGGGCCCAAGGACTGAGAGCCTCCACTACCCTGCGGACAAGAGATCAGCGGATCATCCAGAGGACCTTGTTTTGAAGGGAAGGAATCCCAGGGGACATAATAGAGGGAAGCAAGCCACCCAAAATATTAACATCTACCTCAGCCCTGACGTGTTCCTCTGAAACACGTCCTGTACACCAGCACTGCTGCCACTTGCTTGTGAAGCAGCCAACTGAGTTATCAGATGCACAGCTTAGACAACAGTCACAGATTCCAAAGTATAATTAAATATTGAAAGTTAAAAAAATATTTTTATCTAGATTTATCACAAGCTTTCAACTGAACAGTGCAATTACACTGTCTGGCATTTATACACTATGCCAAAAATCAGTCCTACAGTGGTCTTCCCCCAGATTAAAACCACAAATTAATCTGCAGCGGTACAAAGATTTCGTAGCCATGGCTTCCATCTAGGCAGCTCTATAGAGCACTCTGCTCTGATTAGTTTTACAAATACTAATGAAATTAATTTTATCTTGCATTGTTTTCTTACTTGACTGTGAAAAGTCCATGCCAGGAACCTAACAGGAAGGAGTCCCAGTGAATGGCACTCATTCTTCTATCACAAGAGCTATTTTTTTGACAGAGAAGGTGACAGACTTCAGAGTATTTTGATGGAGCTTAACATTACAACATGGCATAGAATAAATGTTATTAAAGGAATGCACAGGCTGAATAAACCTGTCTGCAGGTAATTCAGTAGCTATACCTGACCACATGCTTGGCAGGGATTTGTTTAATTGAGGGTGGAAAAAACAAGGTGTGAGAGCCAGTTCTGTGATAACAGACTAGCAGTTGGCTCCTTTCCCTCCTTCATAACAGACCAACAACTACAAGCTTTTCCAACACGACCTTATCAGCGCAGATTAAAAAAGAGATGAGAAACATTAGAGCATTGTTCTGAAACACAGTCACATCTACGAGTGAAAAAGCAACATCATTCCTATCCTTGCTATTAAGCAGCAGTTCTGCCCTGACCCTGCCGTGTGTCTGAACGAACCCCTTTTAGAAAGGAGAGGTGAGAAATGAAAAGCATACATGGGATTTGTAAAGGAAATTCTGAAATGAAAGATTACAGTTGGCTTCTAAGGAGCAGCAAGGTCACAGGAGACAGGTGCTTGTGAAGAAACTTAATTCTTATCATCACACAGAATGTATTTGTTGTATTGCTCCTTTTGTTAAGCAAAGAACAAAGCCCAGAGGAATCTGTTCTGTGTGGAATCTTAATGGGATTTACTAGAGCTTTCCACTATGTTTAAAATGTAAGAGTTTGTTTTAAGTTCGGCGAGGCAAAGAACCACTGGTAATTACTGTTCTTCTGTTTTGCTGCTATTCCTGAACTTCACCACCATCACTGTTATGTTATCGGGACACCCTCTGTAGAATGACTGTAGAACTATACTCTTGGCTCCAAAGTGTGGCTCATCCAAGCGTTCCTTGATGAATCGCACGGCTTCCTCGTTGCTGAAGGCATCCCACAGACCATCAGATGCCAGGATCATGAACTCTGGCTGCAGTTTGTCCAGGTCAAAGGTGAGAATATCGGGGTCAGGAATGACAACGTTCAGGTTCTTCAGAGGGTAATCTCCTAAGGAGCGGGACATGGCCAGGATGCCCTGAACGCGCCAGGAGCCGTTAAAGCTGATAAATCCACCTGGAGAGAAACACCAAACTGTTACAACTTTCTCCGACCTCCTGCCACATCCACTCACAAATTCACCTTCGGTATCCTGAGGTTTGTAAATGTTACACAGCTCAAAAAGCAGGTGTCTGAATTTAATATCGCAGCACTGCAAAGACGAGTTGGATCGTGCCTTCCAGCTAGAGCTCTCCTAGCAAACTGCCCTGCACAAGGTGTGCCAAAAAATATCAGAACAGTGTTGTGAACAAACCCATCATAAAGTGCTATTCTGAGTTAGAAAAATGCGCTGTGGATTAGGGCTACTTGTGGTTGCAAATCCCTTACAGTGCTGAGGAATTGCTTACAGGCAAATGCATCTCTCACTGAAGTCAGTGAGTGATAAGAGCCAGCACCTGGGCAGCACCCAGCCTGACTGCGCCGGGGAGAGAACTACGCAGTGCCTCAAGGTCAAAGCAGAACTGAAGCACCTTCAGTTTTGTGTGCACGTGTCTGTGTGCCACTGTCTGCACTGATGTGTAGCTATATTTCCTCCACTCTAACATGAATGCAAAGTCAGAGTCGCTTGAGGACAAATAATTTGCAAAAGGTCTATCATGGAGCATTGAAACGTGTAACCAAATTGGAAGAATTGTTGTCTTTACATCTGCAAGTTGTTTGTTTTGGTGTTTTTAGAAAAACATTTGTTCTTTATAGTAATCAGAATGCATTCAGCTTTTCACTCTGCCCTACTGCAATTGCACCTCAGCTATGCAGTCACACCAGCCTTGTCCAGCTGCTGCAGTATGTTTTGAGGACATCTTGATTGCAAATTACTCAGCCACCCATTTCCCAGCACTTTTTTCACGAGTGTTTACAACTGCAGTACCTCAGAGTAATCATATGTACGTACTGGAGTGATGGGAAGCAAAATGCCATCAAGGAGAGGCAGTTTTAAGTATGTATTATACAAACAATTAGAGGAAAGCAGTGCTGACATCCATTACTGTACTCACAGAGGAGATAGCTGATGCTGCTAACTGGTTGCAGCACACTGACAGTAGACAGTATAAGCAGGCAGTGCTTATACATGCAAAATGACTTTCCAGTGCTGCTGTCAAGTGGCAGCTGAAAGTGACAGTGGCAGGAGCTCCTGAGGTTCAGTGAAGTGTCTGTTGGCACTTGTAGTGTTTTGTTTTATAAAGTCATCCGTACAGAGTGGTTAGAAATTGTTAAGAAAAAGCAAACGTTCTGCAGTTCCAGCTGTCATTGGAGAAGAAAAGACATTAAGGAAATAGGAGCTCTTTGGCAGCCACGCAAACATTCCACACCTAGAGACTTTAGCTCCAAGGAGTGCATTCAAGGTGAATACAATTTCTGTCAGTGACAGACACCTTGAGGTGCAACAACTGGGTTTTTTTCACAAGCCTGGACTGTGGTTGTTTCACAGCCCCTAAGGTGAATACTGTACCCATTGCTCAGGAAACCCCCATCAGGGGATTTGTATTTTTTGCAGAAACGTGCATTTTTCTGTCTCATGCAAAAGAATCAGAGTGCTGGGATTGCTGTCATTCAGCTGCAAGAGGAGCAGCACTGCAGCAGTCATGAGTGTGTGGCAGCAGCTCCCTGTGGCAGCAGGCAGTGTTGACGGGCCTGTGACTCAAGCTGCTAACTATAAGCATGCTGTTGAGCAGGTAATACCAACATCTGTAAGAAAGCAAGGGCCCTGTTCTCTCAGCCAGTGGCTTTCCTTTGGTACTGGCTGCAAACGCTGGCATCAGTAACCTCGTACTGCCTTACAGGAACACTCAGGAGCACTCTGTGCGTTGGCTTCTGGGGACTGCAGCACGAGAGCTGCGAGCAAAGGCCTTCTCTAAATGCACAGTTGTACAGAGCACCTGGATGGTGTTGGTGAAGGAGGCCTTAAGAAGTTCAACTGCTGAACGAAAGATCTCCGGATGTTCTCAGTACATCTCCCAAACACACAGCTGAATGAAGCAAAGTGAGACTAGAATTTTCCCTTTCTTTCTTCTCAAGATCTGTGAGCATTCAGTTTGCCTTTGGGAACTTACACAACCCCAGCCTCTGTAGCGGCACGAAGAATCACGCTGCTCTTCAGCTTCCTCGGAGATAAAAGCAAACAGCAGAAGGCATGAGTTTGCCACGTACAGGCATTTATACTAGTGTGAGCCTACTGAAGACCTGCAGGTTTTAAAAATGTTTCACACTCAGGGAAAAAATGCATTATTTCTACTTCACAGATGAAGAACTTGAGGCAGAGAAACAATGCATCTCTAGAGGCAATGCTGATCAGAATGGTTAACACAAGCAAGGGAACTTTTTCTTCGTCAAATAAGTTGCTACTGCAGGCTGCTATGGGAACCAAAACAGAAACAGTTTCAAAAGAGGCTTTGACAAATTCATGGAGAATTGGCCATTAAACTTGAGGTACCAAATGCAACTTCTGGCCCAGGAGGTCTCAAGTGACAAGTTAAGAAAGCCAGAAAGATTTATTGTGCAAGGTTACCACTTCTAATGTTCTTTTCCTTGTATTTCTGCTACTGTGTATGTGTTCGTGATAATTTACCGTCATTATAGGGGAACAAAAAGTAGCTTTAATTAATTAGATTCGTGGTCTGCTTATTTTAGTAACTAAATTGCACTCTGCTTAAGACCCAGCCTCTTACATAAAGGCTGCTGATACGATGTGGTGTGGAGAAGCCTGTGAAGGTGCTGTGCCTGTTCATTAATTGCTCCCTGCAGAGATCAGGAGGGAACCGGCTGGGACAGTCAACTGGCTGTAGAAGATGAAGGCTGCTCCTCTCACTTTGACACTGCTTCATTAAGGATAGGTCAGCCTGTTTCCATTTCTCAGCCTGCACCATGCAATCTCTCTGAAAAGTGTTGTATTAATAATGGAAGATTTTATCTGCTGGTTTCTCGGTCTGGTACTTTTCACTGTCTCACAGGGGAAAAGTCTGTATTACTGACAGCAGAGAAGAAAAAGGTGAGCTTTCAATCCAAAGCAAAACCGTTATCACTCACCGGCTCTTTTAATCCTCTTCCTCTCTTTCAGCTGGTAGGGCTTGTGGTCGTGTGACAGGGGGATGGCATTCCCGTCCTTGTCGCACAGCACGCCTCGCGAATCACCAACGTTGGCCACAGTGAGCTCTTTGTCTGACAGCAAGGCGATCAAACAAGTTGTGCCTGAGAAAAAACAGAGGGGAGAGGGGAGCAAACACAGATAGATGGGACGTATCTGTCTGCAGTTATATAGCACATTTTCTGCAGTGGCTGCCCGTGGCCATGTGGACCAGCAGCTGTTCTGGTATCTGACTGAAGCATCTTCTACTCCATCAACGCCACGAAAGAGGCTGTCACCAAATCTGACAGCTCTCTTCCAAGGACATTTAAGTCTATGAGGTTTTTTTCTGTTATCTCTGGATATTACTGAGTCATTCCCTGCTCACTCTTTCTCTTACCATTATTTGGTCCAGTTCTTACATGGAGTATACACGTATCTCAGCACCTGCTCCGTATTGCTCCTGCACAGACTGGCAGGTGGCTGAGCATTGGTGAAGCTGAAAATCTTAAACTCAGCTAAGAACAGTGGCAGGAAAATGTTCTTTAGATGGATAATGGCGGAGAGAAGCTCAAAGGGGAGGAGTGTTTTCCATTCTCTGAGAGCTGTCTTTTCCTAATGGATGAGAAAAGTAATAAGAGAGAAAAGTGCGTATTGGCAGCAGAGCCCACACGCTGCTTTCGTGGACTGAAGCTACGGCACTTGAATGGATATGAGCCCAACAGCCTCTGCCCCCTCACTCCTCCAAGGATGCTGTCAGGGCTCACATCCCATGGCAGCCTGTCCCCAGGCAGCGGATAGCTGGATGCTGAGGATGAGCTTTGGTCACAGCACCCTGTGTACGCCGTTAGGAGGGAATACAGCTGCCCAAACTGCTGCCACCAAGGCAGGCTATGGATGTTTTATTGGAGAAAGGAAATGATTTGACAGTTTTAATTACTTTAGCCTTTAAATACACAGAAAAAAATGTGATCACTCATTGACCATAGTATTCAGCAAGCATAGTATTGTCAGCTGAAGTGACAGAAAAGTATTGAAATAATTGCTTGTTTTCAAAGTACTGACACTACTGTTTTTATTTTCCTCATTGAATTGATGCAGAATAGAGTGAAAGTTGACCATTATGAAAGTGTCTGTGGTGCATCTTCCCCTTATAGTCAGTGTGATACCAGCTGTGTTACCCAAATGCCCAGCATTAAAAATAAGCCCTGCACTGACTTTGGCCCAGGTGCCAGAATATCATTCATATTTTGGAAAAGAAGGGTATCAAATACATTTTTATATATATTCACTAACAAACATTTAAAGGGAATATTCCTGACACTTAGATTGTATGGCAGTCCTAAAATTATTACCAAATTCTTACAAAAGGTTCTTGGAATTCTCCAAATTCTCAAAGCTACACCTTGTGCATTGCTGTCCAAACACAGAATTTAAGACTATGTTTTGCAGTTCCCATGCCAGTAGTTGAATATCCCATGACTGGAATAAATATAATAGCCAGTAATAAACAATGTGTTTTTAGATGCACTGAGTTCTGGAGATTTATTTTTATCTTAATGGTCCGTCTTGCACAGCTTTAAACCAAAAACACTTTTTCACAGTGCATACATCTCATTTTGTGCCACTGACTGATGTGCTGCAGACCTAACTGGACAGTTTCCCATTTGTGGCTAAAAAAACCAGCCAGCTACACAACTCTGTGGCTCATGTAACGATACAGCAACCCGTCCACCTGCATGACCCAAAGCCTTGTCAAACCAAGAGCCCCCTCCACAGGTACCTTAGCTGAAGGCCACACGGAGCCTGGCAGGGGCTCACAGGGCTGCAGGATGCCCGAGGCAGCACTGCTGCTCTGCACAGCTCTCACCTCCCTGGCTGCTCCCCGCTGGCTCAGCTGGCTGCCAGCAGCAGAGCTGTGGCACTGGAAGCACCAGACCCCAGCGTTCCCCCAAACAGCCCTGCTCCAAGGCCAGCAGGGTGGCAGGTGAAGCACCAGCACTCGCACAGAGCACTCGGTGTGCCATTGCCTGCCCTCAGCAGAGAACAAAGGCAAAAGAACACAGCGCAGGTGCAGGCTCATGCCTCAGTATGGATAATAATCCTTTCTGTGTGTGCTGAGTGGTGTGGGGGTTGTTTATGGCTACTATTACACCTGTTACTGCCTCGGATGATGAGATTCTGCCCAGCAACGTGCCCTTGTAGTTAGCACTGAAGTGTTGTACTCTGCCTTCTTTTTGCACAGGGCCGCTGGCTGCAGTGGGAGCTCTGCACAGGAGTCACGGATGGTCCCACAGACCCTGCGCTTTGAGGCTAATTGAAGTTGCAACAGTAAGTGCTAAAGAGCTTGTTGTACAAATAAACCTTGGAAGGTATCAGGAAGAGAGCTGCATTATTAAGATGAAAGCAGAAAGAGTGCAGGTAAGCAGCAACACCACAACACCTGGCTGCCATGCGATACGGCCGTCTGTCGGGACAGCGGCGCCGTGGCTCTGGGAGGGAGCAGCACGTGCAGGTACAGAGTATTGCAGGAGGGCACCTGTGGCATTTATGCAGAACAGTGTGGAATTTAGCATTTGAGGTCAGCTCAAGGAACAAAAACCATTAACTCTGTAAATGGATAAAAGCTCTGCTTCAATAGGAAAACTACGTCAATTAATGGCACCTTTATGAGGCTTTTCTTACTGGCTGTTCAAGCAGCATCATGATCACAGTGGAACTCTGTGGCTGGCACCTGCCAAAGGCACTCTGACTCCTTGTCTAAATTTCTGAGAGAAAATTAGCAGCCACTTTTGCATTTGTGACTAAAACCCAAACCTACAAAATGTTCAATGTGGTGATACAGCCATAATTACAACCCCACGTAACAATGAAGACTTCGAATACAGCCTTCTGGTTGTATGATCTGTGTGTATGAAGGAGAGGGAGAACTGAGCCAGAAGATCACCCCAAGAGCTGGCTGCAGTGTGCATCGCCTCAGCCAGCGGCCCCTGACTGATGGCAGGCTGCGTCAGTCCCTGACCTCGTGGTGCTGCCTGCCGCTGCATGGGAAAGCAAACTTCTCTCACTTTGTTTTCTTCTCCATCTATTTTTATTTCAGTCATTTAACCTTGTGCAGAGTTAGAAACCATTGCGCACTTGTCAGTTGCCTCAGATTTAATGCCATTGCACAATGGAAAATTCCCAACATAAAGGGTCCAAAATGGAGAACGCATGTTATATTGGTCCCTCGGTGCAGCTGCCTGAATAATGCCTTGCTGGGCAGTTAAAGAAGGAAATCACCAGGAAATTTAAAACCTGTGATATATTGGCTGCAGAGATACAGTGTACATTTGGTTTGGATTTTTTGTGTTGTTTTCTTTTCTGAGTCTGTTAAGATTAGTGGTGTTATATTTTAGCACCAGCCAAGGTGCCTTATAGAAGTCAGGGCTGCACCAGCTACACTGGGTTTTAGGTACCTGCTTTATCAAAATGAGCAAAAGGAAATGATACAGAAGTGAGAAAAAAAGAGGGAAAAAGAATCCACCAGGAGATAGAAGAAAGGAATAATAAAGGTACACCAGCAGCTGAAGGCACATGTGTAAGCAGCAGAAGGAGGATGAGGCAGCCAGGATGAGCTGCAGAAGATGCACACAAAGGGCAGGGAGCCTTTTTTGACAACAGAAGAGCTAAAGCAATTCTGAGGCCT